AAGTTGCAACGAATAATCTTCATACAGTATCAAGCAAAATGTCATGTCTAAAATGAGGGGGCCATAACTGATAACACTTTTTCCTTTAAAAAAATGAAAAATAATTATTTGGATAAGAAAATAACCCAGACATTTAGATATATTAGAATAAAAATATTTTTTTAATTTTTTAAAAATCATTTAATATTCATCGGTTTATGATTAAATGAAAAATATAGAAAATTGTTAAGTTGTTTTTAAGGAAGGAAAATAATGTTTGTCCCGAGAAAAAAGCCCCTCCCCCCCCCCCCTATAAATGATCATTAATTTACCTAAGTGGGGGCTTAAATTTGGAGACCGATCGCGAGGCCTGACTGCCATAAACAACAGATAACGAACAGCAAACAGTGGATACACCAATTGATATGTATGAAAGACAACGACGGACACAAAATGATTGCACTGAATAATTTCAACTACCATTGAGATCGTTTTTTTCTTCAAATCTCCTTATCAAATTAGAAATGCATTTTAAAAAAACCTTGGGATATCTTTTTCAGTTTGGAATTGGAATTGGAATTAAAAATTGCATTTCCCAAAGAGTTTCAGGTAAAACCCCGAGAATCTCACCTCCTAGAAATTTGAAGTGCCAGGATGTTTGAAAATATGTATGAATTTTATTACATACTTGAAATTGTATAAGGAATATAAAAAGATTCAGTATGTTTACTGTACAAACAAACAACAGACACCAAGTGATGGATACAATTGTGGCTTATATTGTTTAATTCATTTTTACTGAGAGCAAAATTTGATTGATTGATTATTCAGTGGTTGTTTAAACGTCCAGTGGCAAAAATTTCATGCATATTCAGGACAAAAAGTCGTTTCAGAAGTATATTATGAAGTATTTGGTATAACAAATGTTTAAATTTTCTCATTGTTTGGTAAATTTCATTTTCTTAGCTATTTCTAATTAATTTTATGAATCAGATTTTTCTGACAAATTATATATTTTGCTCTAAATTAACTCATACGATTCTGATAATATAAGGAACATTGTAACTTAAGTTAAAAAAAAAGAGATTATGATTGTTTAATCAGTTGTTATGTAAGTTCGCTCGTGTCAGTCGGATCACTGATTTTCGGCAATATCAAGGAAAAACCGGCACGTTCCAAATATTGTTCAACTACTCATTTAATGGTGATTCTTTTTCTTTAAAAATTGGAATTTATGTAATAAAAATCTATCTATCTCTACCATAGTATGAAAACAGAGTACAAGTAACACGTGCTTTCTAGTCCTTAGTGGCATATTATAAGTCCTTAGCAGTGTTTAGACGTACAGGCAGAAAACAGTCGAAGGCCACCAATGGGTAGAAAATCTCGCACCGAAGGCGTTTTTCAGCTGGTCCCTAAACAAAAATGAATTTTAGTTCAGTGATAATGGACATCATACTAAACTTCGAAACATACAAATATTTCCTAAATTTCGGAACGTAAACATATGATAATTAATTAGTTAAGGTTACAAATTTAGGCATATAAAAAGAAGGGGGGCGGGGGTCAATGCATTTGAATGGGGACATATGGTTAAAACCACCCCTTTTATCCTGGGTTGAGAACCCTCTTTTTAAAAATGGCTGGAATCGCCACTCTTTAAAACGTAGCAATTTATAAATTATTTATATTAAGTAGAATTATAAAATCGATGAGTTTTATAATTTGATAACACTCATTGATATTGGAAATACTATACTACAATTAATTTATTTAATACATGGAGTGTTTAGTAAAACTGTCGACCAATCAACACAGAAAGCGAGATATCTAAAATTTGTATACCCTTATAGATTTTCATTATCATACATCAATCTTAAATGCAATTCCAAATAAAATGGCTTTGAGAACCGTGTATTAAGCGCTTATCGTTCATTCGTCAATGAATCATTCACCGTGCGTGTATCGTGCGTGTATCGTGTGTTCATCATTCATCGTGCATCGTGCGTGTATCGTGCGTTCATCATTCATCATTCATTTTTCGTTAATCCTCCGTGTAACGCTCATCGCTCATCGTGCGTGTATCGTGTATCGTGCATTCACCGTGCGTGTATCGTGCATTCACCGTGCGTGTATCGTGCGTGCGTGTATCGTGCGTGTGGTCAGTTTGAATTTTAGAAGGTCTGTAGTCAATGGATTGTTGAATTGAGGACAACGTTTATCACCCTCAAATTAACACGAGGGGGATACACATATTGAAGTATTCGGTAGTTAGTCAATGGATTGTTGAATTGAGGACAACGTTTATCACCCTCAAATTAACACGAGTGGGATACACATATTTAAGTAGTCGGTAGTTAGTCAATGGATTGTTGAATTGAGGACAACGTTTATCACCCTCAAATTAGCACGAGCTCGGGGGATACACATATTGAAGTATTCGGTAGTTAGTCAATGGATTGTTGAATTGAGGACAACGTTTATCACCCTCAACGTTTATCACCCTCAAATTAACACGAGTGGGATACACATATTTAAGTATTCGGTAGTTAGTCAATTGATTGTTGAATTGAGGACAACGTTTATCACCCTCAAATTAACACGAGTGGGATACACATATTTAAGTATTCGGTAGTTAGTCAATGGATTGTTCAATTGAGGATAACGTTTATCACCCTTCCTCTCGGTCGATCTACTTGCAAAACCTACGTACAGGAATGAATCTTATATTTGTTCTGGTCCTACATATCCATGAAATATTTGCCACTGGACATTACACAAACAACAACAAATCAAACAATTTAAGTCAACGTGAAGTTGAACAGAAGAATGACATACCAACATTTCATACAAGTATCTTGGACTAGAGGTACCATCGGTCCAGAAGTCATTGCTTCGCAATTGAGATGATTTAAAAATATAAATTTCAAAAATTTACCATTAACAAATTAAGGATGTACACCTCTGAGGAGCCAAACATTTCTAGAATTAAACTTTTTTCTTAACCGGATTTTTGGGTTTATATGACAGTAAAAAAATAATTGGTGAAGAAAAAATCATATGGTGGTGCACTTCTTTTTTTGCTACAGCCCTTTGAAAGTACCCAATTTTGATGATTTTCCAATTTTTCATCAATTTTTACCTATTTTTGGGCTATTATCGTGAAAAAAATCACAGTTCCACTATTAAACTTTTGTTCATACTTTCAATAAAGATGAAGTGGAACAATCTAAATAAATTTAACTTAAAAAAACTATAGGTAGGTGTTAATATAAGAAAGTTTTATCCTATTTTGATGCTTTTTTGTGTCAAATTAACCATGCTGTCAATTTTGTAAATTTGTGATTTTTCTCTGTTTTAAGAACAAAATGCATATTATTTCAACTTCTTTGTTATAAAAGATTGAAAAAATACATATCTAAGAAATTTGAAAAGAAAAAAGTGATATGGGATGTACATGTCTCTGGTAAAATCATTTCTTGTACCCTTCATCCATTTTCTCAAAATTTTGGCTAAAAAGACTGACTTGATTGGTAATAAAATTTGAAAAATTGATTACTCAAAAACTACTCATTGTAAATACGCAATTTTTTCACAGAGTTATGTTTGATTATAACATTTTTAAAATTCATTGATATTTTCCACTTGTATCACATGTTTTGGAAATAATTCCAGGACGAGATTTCAACGAGACTGTAACGTCAGAGGAATACATCCTTAAGAAATCATTTAAAAAAAACTAAAGGACCAACAACCTCTAGCAAAGATGACCAAAATGATTTTGGCTATTTTTTTAACAGTGAAAATGAGGTATCGGTTAGGTGACGTGAGGTAGTCTACCGCATACAAATCTATACGTATTACGTTCTACTTAATCATGAAACTAATATCATTAGCTCGGGGAAAGCATTTTGGATAAGTTAATTTGTTTGACATCTAGTTCATCACACATGAATTTTTGGCTTTTTAACAAATCTGATCGTTAAACAGAGGTTTTTTTGGGGTTTTTTTTGTGGGAAGAGGTATACTATAAGCGCCTTTTGTATATCTCAGTATGTATTTTTTTTCTATATAAAAATGGATGAAATATTTGAAATATATTTCCCATAAGCCTTTCACAGACTATTTGTCAGTCAATAATTTCAAGGACTATTAACCCGGTAAATTGTTTTGCAACCATATTTCCGAACGTTTTCATATTACATGTATTTCATTGGACAAAAATGACATCATAGACGATTATTGTTGCTTAGACTTTTTCGCATGGTTAGGCAAAACATTGAAATAATTGATAAAGATCTATAAGTGTCGATTTCATTTTCTAAGTTTGTTTTCCAAACTAAGCAGGAGTAATACTAAAAAAAAATAGAATATCAACACGAAAAATTACATTTTTATAGAACTGAAACACAAAAATGTATGGGATAAATCTGTCGTCGTCTCCCTCATCTTGTGAATGCTTTGGAGTAAGGTAAATTTTTTTTTTTTTTGGTTACCGGCAGTCGTATGCATGGCAATAACACAAGAGCTCCTGCTTTTGCAAGTTTTGATTATTGTAAATAAGATGCTTACAAATAACACAAAGACAAAAATGTCTTCTTTTGTGCATCACGTACCTGTATGTGTGACGTATTTTCCAGATGCTGTAAATTTGGATTTCTTTGAGGGTTGTGTTTTTCGGTACAACAAAAACTTAATGACTGGTTATGAGGATACAAACAAGTTTGTTATCCCTTCGGTATACGTACCATTGCCCCCGGCTTCGCCTCGAGCCAAATTTGATATTTCAGGGACAACCATAATAACCAGTCAATAAGTGCATAGTATAAAGCACAGTAACGAAAACAAACTTTTTAAATATATATAATTTTAATTTAGGGCAATTGAGCAAACATAATATTAAACAACAAATCAAATAATATAACTGATGGAATAAAATAACGTAACATTTAAAATCAACAAACTAGCGATTTTTTTTTGATTTTTTTTTTATACTTATACTCTTTTAGACTCTAGGGTATTAAAATAAACTTAAATTCATAGTTTCTTCAAAAATTCTAAATAAAAGAAATGATTAATTTTATCAAACAAACCAAATCATTTTGCAAAGTTGTTCATAATTTTACATAACAATCTGAAAAATAAAACAAAGTGCTAAATTCCATACTAATGATAAAATTTGTTTTCACGAATTTTGAAATTTTTATTTCTAATTAAGATTGACGTTCTAAATGTTTTAGCAGTTGATAACATTGTTGCTAACAACGTATGTAAAATATCTTGACTAGTTTAATCACAATTGTTTGGAAGCCAGTTAGTATAACAGTGTGGGTGTTATCACTACTCAGTAAATTATTATAACGACTTTGAAACTTGTTATAAAGACTTTGTTTATTCAAGATTAACTTACGTCTTTATAACGAGTTGATTAGTCGTGATAGCGAGTTAGCTTAGTCGTGATAGCAAGTAAACTAAGTCGCAAAAAAGAGTTGCTGTGTCATGATAACTAGTTAGCTTGGTCACTTAAAAACTACAACCTCAGTCCTGACAGTGACACTAACTTGCTTCCATATAATTTACCCAATGTCATGTACAAAACAAAAAGTGTGTAAATCAGTAATGATATGGATCAAAAACAGTCATTGAAAACAACAAAATTAGATGAAAGGGATATGCGCAGCAAAATAAATGTTTGATCTACGTTATAATTTTCTTTCAAATGAATCGATTCATGATTATCCCAAGACAATCCTTATGCATGGATGTCCTAACTTTTTTCATCTGTTTGAACATTCAGGTTAATAAGAAAAATACAACAGAAAACAGCTGATATTTGAGCCAGTATATTGCATGATATTTTACAAGGAACAAACAAAATCTTTGAAATGTAAATTCAAATCATATGTCATGCTAATCACTTTTTTTACATGTACATGTATGTAATGAACCACGGTTCATATTCCGTTGCATCAATATTAAATAACATAAATTTATAGAAATAATCATAACATTCAATTTAACTGAAAATAAACATTTTCAAAAACTCAGTCTTTATATAATGAATACCACAAAATATTTACTTTTTAACATGATAAAGCACTTGTAAATATTGCAAAACATATTAAAAATTAACACTTCATAATAACACATGATAGTCTTAGCCCCACAACCCTAAAATGGTGGCTTTTACCACACATAACATAGATCTATGTTTTATTTCTGAAGAAATTTTTAAAACCCTTTATATTTGACATATTTTTTACATGCTGCACACATGAAAATTTTACTCACGTGAATTTCACATGAATCTCACGTGAAATTCACCTCAAACGAGCTTATACGTGAAACTCACGTGAAAATTTTCTCATGCACGTGAATATACACGTGAAATTTTTAACGTGATATTTCAAATGAACTTAAAAAAAATAAGTGGTATTTTTTTATGTTTTTAATCAGATTTGAAAATTTAGATGTCATTTATTTGTGCTTTTCACGTGAAGTTCACAGGAGTATCACATGAGATTCACATGAAACTCAAGTGAAATCAGTTCACTTGAGTTTCACGTAAAAGCTCGTTTGAGATGAAATTCTCTTTGGGATTTACATGAATCTAAAATTCACACGAAATTCACGTGTGTAAAATTTCCCAGTTTATACAAATAATTGAAAATATACTGACCATGTAGGGTAATGTGCCCTGATATGTTTACATACACATTACATGTATATCTACATCACATTTACTGTAAACCAACTAATTAAAGCGATTTATTTTCGCGACTTTCGCGAGTAGAAAAATAACGCGAAATTCAATATAAATCGTCGCAAATATGTAAAACTTAGATCTTTCCTTATTTAACTACATCAATTAAATTTGAAAATCGCGAAATTAAATTGCCGCAAGGTGGGCTAGAAAGGGCTAAACGCGAAATAAAGTATCCGCGAAAAAAAGTTGGGTTACAGTATTTAAATCAAAACTGAGTGTGGGAAATTATTTTCGACTGATTGAAATGAAGACCTCGAGTAAATATAGTCATGTTTTGTTCTTTAATGACAAAATGGTAACAATGATTTTTATCGTTGTTTATCCCTTACGTAAATTTTCGTATTTTGAGTTTCATTTTCTAGTCACAAATTTAAGTCAGTGCAATTCCAGTGATAACCAATTTGGTTCTGATTCCGAATCTTAAAGGTTTAGTTAGGGCTTTTTAATTGTTTGTTCATCAAATAAAAGGCTATATATAATGATTGTTTACAACCGCTGTAGACGTTGTTTAGGACCACTGTAGACGTTGTTTAGGACCGCTGTAGACGTTGTTTAGGACCGCTGTAGACGTTGTGCGCTATTAAAAGGGTTACCCAGAAGAAGTTAAATTATAAAAGGGTGAATTTACAGTGCCTTATATGTACATATCCTTAAAATAAGAACTGTCCTTGCAATACTTTAATATGTATCTACTAAATGTATGCAATTTCTGAAAAGAAAATTAAGAAAAGATATATGGATGCCATATAAATCATAATCTTTTGATTCTTTTGCGTACCTTAATGAAAAGTTAACAACTGATTCTATACATTAAGCATAACAAAGTAAAATGATTTGGCACCTTAACAACTTCGGTACTGGCAGTGAAGTTCCGTAGCACACGATCGTAAATGAAAATGGCTATACTTTAACAATTCTTTGATGCATTTTGATCTGTCCTACCATCTTTGGTGGTTTCAACGGCACTTTTTTTTGTCGTATAAAAGTCAATGCCTGTTCAACATCCTCCTTTTTGTCATACCCATGACAAGCAATGTACCTTCTAAGTGATTGTACTGTAACTCTTCTATATCCGATGTCTTTATTTTGTGATGGTCTTATTTCAAGCTTCTTCGCAACAATACCTAAGTAAACGTCGTCTATATGCATTGGTTTGACAAACGGAAATGCTAAATTGAATTTTCGGGCTAATGGCATTGATACAAAATAAGCGCCACCTGCTAAATATGGCGGCCATCTGTCAAAGGGATAGTCTTCCCACGCTATAAACCATTTTGATCCGTTTGCCCGGTATGGCACAGATCGCCCGAGAAACGTTCCACTAAACAACAATTTGTTATTCTTTACTTTAGTAATGTATGCTTGAAGATTGTCAATGTTTACAAAATAATCATCGTCAACAAAGAAAAGATAATCGGATGTATCACAGAACGACACGGCCCATCTATAAGCCATTATCATTTTTACCGTATTATTCCAGTAACTATCTATAAAATTCTCTTGAATTATATCCCCATATAATGTACTCTCCTTTCTAATTGCTAAATTTCCATTTGAGGGAAGTCCTAAAAGAAAGACTAGAAGCATATTTTTCTCCAGATATTTTCCCCATGTTCTTCTTATCACCTCCCTCCTTTCAAAGTTATTCACCGATGATTTGACTAGTATCACAATTTTAGAATGTGTCGAATTATCTGGTTCGAATAGACATGAATTGGTAGGAGTATATAGAAAATGATAATTGTGTTCGTTGATTGGTTGAACGGAAGATTTGTTAGCGGACTCTAATTTTTGGACTAATTGTTTCAGATTGATATTCAGGGGATACTTAAATTCCCTGTCGTAGGATTTTTTCAGTGAAATACCTCCTACCACTTTATTTACTTTTATTTGCTTTTTAATATCTTTTTCCTTTAACAACTGTTTTTGTTTTACTTTTTCATCTTCTAATTTATTTTCTTCCATCTTTGGTGTCAGTTTTATTTGCATTTCTTTTTGAATATTTAATAAATCCGTAGTCTTTTGGATATGCAAATCAATTGACTTGTCTTCATCACGTGACATCTCTGACAACAAAAGCTTTTCTTCTACTGCAATATACTCCATGAAATACATATAAATATAGCCGAATGCCATCATATATACAAAAAGGACAACACCTGCCTTTCTTTTGAGTTCTGAACGCCGACAAATTCTCATTGTATTACTGCATAATTTATTTCCCTACATATAAACAAACACCGATATGCCAGACTGAATCTGAAAAAAAAAAAGATTTTTACAATATTATTTTCAAACGTATATGATCGCAAATTCGTAAATATTTGTAGCAGTTGGTAGTCGGTTATTGTCTTATTACTATTATATTTTATGTTATTTGAAACCCCGAACTTTAGAACTCTTTTTACCGATTGACTAAATGTATGATTTACCGGACCACGTCAAATTACAAATGAGATCTACAGTTCGATAAAGTACCTATCAATCGCTATAAGAGCAATAGGTAATTTCATTTTTTCGTACCCCAAAATGAAAATAACTTCATGTAATTGGTTGAATATTTATGTTAAGGATTTGTAAACTTTCTTGTGATTAAGCGTAATTATGCACACTGTTGTTTGACCATAAGTGGCAGAATAACCAGAAATGATTGTGGCCACCAAATGACAGAAGCAGTAGCAGAAACCTATCACATTTGCTTGATGTACGCTTTGGAAAAGATTACGCAGAATTCATTCAATTCTGAAACGAACTAATTCTAATGACCTATAGTTGTTAATTTCTATGTCATTTGGTCTCTGGCTGTGATTTGTCTCATTGGCAATCATACCACATCTTCTTATTTCTATAATCAGTCACGAACAATAAGAATATCGTGAAATTGAGAATGGGAGTGCTTGAACTCGAGATGATTTTTTTTGAAATACTTTATCAATTTAGTCTATCTAAATGCAGTGTAGAGTAGATTTTAAATGAATGTCATGTAAAGGGTTGAAAGATTGAGATGAGATGCTCTGACACCGACTCTTTCGGCAAATAATAGACTGTACATACAACGAACAAGACATGGTCCAGATAGCCTTACCTTGTACATGAATCAAGTTTTACGGCAGGTAAATAACTAATTTTACGACCCTTCAATTGTCTTTTGCAAAGATCATACTAAGTGTGCTCTAATCTAAAAATAAGAAGATATGATAGGATTACCAATGATACAACACTCCACCAGAGACCAAATGACGCAGAAGTTAACAACTGCAGGTCATCGTACGGCCTTCTATATCGAGATAAGCCCATACCGCATAGTAAGCTATAAAAGGCATCGAAATGAGAAATGAAAACAATTCAATCGAGAAAACTAGTAAACTCAGATCTTTTTTTTTTTTAAATTTTCCCTACATTTTCAGTAATGTAGTACAAAAGATTATTCTACGTCGTCTAATGTAAATATAATCATAGCTTTAAATACCGGAGAGAGATGATCATTTATTAAAATTTAATCAAATAAACAAAATGTGTTCCGTCTAAATCAAATTTACGGACGTCTTATACCTACATTTTCCTATTGTAATTTTTATTTAATCCTTATGTTGACATGATGAAGTTCCTGACTTGGGAATTTTTCACGGAAAGACATTTTACAAGTTAATTTAGCCTGAAGAAAACCTTATTACGTTAGATGCCTCTAATCAAATTATCAGTTCATTCTTTATCTAGCACTAAGGTACAAAATAAGAAATACCGATTCACAAATTTCAAATGTAAAAAGTTATGCAATTTGAATTTTAAAAATATTTTGTACTTTAAAAATATATTTGACTAAATTGGTTGAGGTTTATTTTTGTGTGTACTTGTTTGTAATTTCTTTTTATCTATTACAGTGCAATTGTTTGAGAGTGAAGTCATGACTAAGTTTTTATCATCTTCTATCTTTTATTGCTTGTTCTTTGAAGTACTACCCTTTAAGGCTTTTTCTTCACTGGTCGATATTAAAAACCTTTAAACGCGTCACATCTTTATTCATCTGTCCAAAGTCAGGAATATGGTTAAAAATAAATCATGCTGCCACTCTATTCTTATTATGAAAAGTAAGCATGGAGGGGCAGCATACCTTATGTATGCTGCATTTATTATAATTAATTATTGGATAAGAGCAAGAACACATTAAATCAGTGAACAAGCTAAAACAATAAACGATATATGTATTAACTAAAAAGAACAATCGGACACAAAAAGGTGCCCCAAGTGGGTACCCCGGGGTCTATAAACTCGGAAATGGCGCGGCTAATCACATCAACCCCCTGCTTTTTGAAATAGTCTATCCAGAAAAGGGGCCAAGGGTCCGACGTCAATTGCTGGATTTACCCCTATCATCTTAATTGAAATATACACGAAATGGTCTTCATTTTAAATATGTCTCTACTGTTAAAACTATCTAATCCATTTACTTATTAATGATCTAATCTCGTTGATGCTCTATTTTCACTTAAGGATTTTGGTGGCCTTGTTTTAAAAATAAAAAAGCTTTTTAAAAGACATATTATTGATAGTATATAAAAATAACAGAACTAAAAAAGCAGAAGAATTGGGTCAAAGTCTCAAATTAAGATTTAAATATGTTTAATTTTAGTTTCCTGTATATAATGTGAGTTAAGTATGATGTCCATTATAACTGAACTAGTATACATATTTGTTTAGGGGCCAGCTGAAGGACGCCTTCGGGTGCGGGAGTTTCTCGCTGCATTGAAGACCCATTGGTGGCCTTCGGCTGTTATCTGCTCTATGGTCGGGTTGTTGTCTCTTTGACACATTCCCCATTTCCATTCTCAATTTTATGATGTAAAGCCATAATTAGCGATAGAGGGAATTGACAAAAACCACGGTCACGTGTCACGGTGTCAATTTACAGTGTTTTCGATGTTTTCAATGGCTTTTATATACGGAGAAATAATATTGGTATAGACGTCCGTAAATTTGTTTTAGAGTGAAAACTCGTTTTTCTGATTTCATTAAATATTTAGCAGATCTCCACTCTAGGGTATTTAAAATAATGAAAATATTTACTTTTCGTTACGTTAGGCATAAACTCTATGTAGTACACCACTAACTTTAACTGTATGTAAATTATTGCTATTTGAACAAACAACTGCCACAGTTTGCCTCAAGCAGTTAAATTATTTGTTTTCATTCAATTTTCAGAACAATCTATGTACAGCTAAATTAATTATTCAATAGTTATTATACTCACAAAACTTAAAATATATTTTCATCGATATATATCATTTCATGTATATTAATAAAAGCAAATATGGTAAAAATGTAATCCAGGATGACAGCCATCATGACACCTTCAACAATGAAACACTGACAAACTATAACTAGACGTACAAATCCACACATTCTGCAATAGGTCAAGCTAATAAGGGTTATGACTTCAGACTTTTCGGCTAGAAAATGACCAACTGACCGGAGGGTGGGGTGTTTTTGTAAGTACTCAGTCATATCCTAAGTCTTTTGCTAAAACAAGAAAAAAAAATGAAATAGCTAAAGCATAGGAATTTCTTAATACGTCTTTACAAGCCAAAAAATAAAGTGACGAAGTATAGTAGTTGCGAGAGATGCATTCTGGACTGTTATTCAGATTTCATGCTCATTTTGATTCGTAAACTCTAAAATAAAACTTACTTAATATCTTAATGATTGATTACCCAGCTGGTACAAAATTTAGCTATACATTGTACATTTAGTATGTAAAAACTCAAATAATATTAAATATTCCATGTATGACATACCAGTATACAAAGCGCGGGAACAGAGTATAAGACACGTGCCCCGTATGAAGTACATATACACTAAACACAGAATTGTAAAGGTTATTACTCCCTATAAGTATTTTGAAAATATCCAAGGTATATATATGCTTTTGTCTAGACCATGAAAGATAATGCCAAAACGAATCAATTTTCTCATGATTACACCTCATGAGTATTTTTGAAAATATCCAAAGCAGATGCTTTTGTCTAGACCATGAAAGCCAAAACGAATTAATTTTCTTTAACAGTTATATACTTACGGGTTTTTTTTTAATGATCATGAAATAAAACTTCCATATTGAAAAGTTGTGCGTTAAGTATCCATAAAAAAATCCCTATGCGTATGTAATTTTATATTAATGTTAGCTCCATGAAAACACACAGAGGATGAAAATAACCCACTCCATTCAAATGAAATATGAGTTTGCCACGTCTCATTGATAGATCCCGTTTCTTGAAAATCCTGAACACTTGTAATACTATATGTTCATTGAAGGCTTATATTAAGTCGTGCCAAAACAAACACAAAGCAATATACGGGCCTCACACAAATGAGGTTATAATGACTTAAACATATGTAGTTTATTCATTAAGAGAAGTAAACATAAAACTTCATTAAATTTGTTACAAATTTCATACAAAATAACTTTTAAAAGGAGATTAAAAAGCACTAGACATTTATCCACTTTAAGTCCTTCCAGGACATTCGATTTACAATAGTAATATTCAATTGTAAATTCATGACATATCGCCTATTTTGTAAATATTAACTTTTGATTTCACAAATACGTCAAAGTGGTGAGTTTCAGTATCAATTAATAAAAAAGATCTCGAATATTTCGTAGTAAACAAACACCCGCCCTTTTCATCTTATTCCAATTTTCAAATATTACTAAAATCGATCGAAATTAAGTAAATGTTGAAATAACAAATACAGTATTGATCTCGCGAGATTTCTGTTGTAATGAAAAAAAATCACCAGGGTGTTGTACAAATTGGTAAAATCATTCAGATCGATGTCACTTCTATTTAGACAAACACCAATACAATATTTAAGTTAATCAGTAGGATATCCGTGTTATAAAACTTAGACTTACAGTGATTATAATCTGTTGTTATACGTACAATTAACTTTTAAACCTTAAAAATTATTTTGATATCCTGTTTTATTTTTATAAAAGACTTACCGAAGTGTCAGACCATCTAGAGGAGTCATTTATTGTGGCTTGC